AGAACAGCAAGCAACAAATGCTGGCGAGGATGTGGAGAAACTGGAACTCTTATTCACTGTTGGAGGGAATGGAAAATGGTGCAACCGTTGTGGAAAGCGGGGTGGCGCTTTCTCAAAAAGTTGCAAATAGACATACCATTTGACCCAGCAATCCCATTACTGGGAATATACCCCAGAGAGACCATAACTGCCATCCGAGCAGATATATGCGCACCCATGATTATCGCAGCTTTGTTTACAAGAGCAAAGAGTTGGAAGCAACCTAACTGCCCATCAACAAACGAATGGATAGAGAAGCTGTGGTATATTCACACAATGGAATACTATGCCGCATTGGAAAAACAAAGAACTCATGCAATATTATTCAAAATGGGAATGGGGGGGCAGAGAAAATAGTGCAACAATGAATTAATGGAAATCCAAAATCTCTGTAAATGTTCACTAAAATTAATAAAATTTAATTTTTAAAAAAAATGGGTGGCCCTGGAGGACATTATGCTGAATAAAATATCTCAGTCACAAAGGGACAAATACTGCATGGTGCCACTGTTGTAGAATGGGACTGATATCCGGGTTGGGGTAAGACAGAAATAACTGGATAAATTATGTATATTGTATTGAAACAGATGAGGGAAAGAACAGATTAAAGGCAATATTCGACTGAGTATTATGGTTAGCAAAGGAGTCCCGAATTAAGGTTGTAAGGTTGCATAGAGAAATGAATGAATGGAAATCCAAAATCTCTGTAAATGTTTATTAAAATTAATTTAAAAAAAGAAAATCCACATCAAATTTGGCAAATCTGTAATACAACCTTGTTTGTTTGTTCCTTCAAAGATACAAAACATGACTGACTTTTTCCTTTTATATTAATCTGTGTTATATGATTGTATTTCTTCACATAGTAAAACTTCTATTAATACAAGCTTTCCATCCATTTCTCTGAAGAGTTATTTTATCAATGGCTAGAATATAGAAAACTTAATTATAAAAAAATTAAATAGATCAATAATCTAATGGCACAGATTATTCTTTTTATATCTAAACTCTTAAAACAAACTAAATGTTTTAAAAATATGTATTTGCTTTCTTTAAATAAAGACAAGTAGACAGCATTAGTGTTAACCACAGGTTACTCAATCTCTGATGAAGTGAAATTATTCCAACTTGTTCAACAACATATTCCCTTTTTTTTTAAAATGGGTGCAGGCAATGCTTTTATTCATCACTCTTAAGTACACTATTACAAATGCTCCCAAGATCCCTTGAAATTAAATAAAGCAGTACTTACTCATGACTGGCTATGTCTCTGTATGTTATCCAAATCAGGTGTTAAACCAAAATTTGCTGTCCAAGGTTTCTCAGAGGAATTCATGTCCTGTCAGAAAACAAAACCAAAAAAGTAGTATTTTCGAGATCAATGTTTAAGATAAAGTTTTCTTTTTTCCCCCCACGTTGTTGTGTACCGTCAAATCAGATCCGATTGGCACAAGAGGAGCTTGCCTCTCCTTCTCCAGCAGAGCATTTGGTAGATTCAAAATGCGCGCCTTTGAGAATGCAGCGCAGCTTCTTGCCACTAGGCTACCTGAGCTCCCTGACAAGATAAAAGTTTTCTAAAAGCAAAGGAGGGCAATAATTGTTTCAAAATGTTCCTACCACTTTCAAAATTTCTTATCAGTCATCTCACTCAAACTCACCACTGTTGAGTCAGAACCAACTTATTCTCTAGCTGTAAATCATGTAGGAGGAGACTGTTCACCAAGGGTGTCACCTTTGAGTTAGCAGTACAACTCCATACCATGACGCTGAGCTTTAATTCATAGTAATTTCTTTTTTTTTCTTTTCACTTATGTAATTTAGAGTGCCACTGAGTCGACTACTACTCACAGCATTGCTATAGACAGATTGAAACCTTGTCTTTTACTGTGCCATTCTCATGATCTTTGGCATGCTTCAATGTCAATCTGTCTCACTGAGATAGAGGGTCCTCTTGTCTGATCCTCTAACCTTCCTTATGTCTTTTTTCCAAGGACTGGCCCCTTCTGACAACCTCTGGGCCAAAATGTGTGAGGTGAAATTTTACCATCCTTGTCTCCATGAAGCACCCTGGTTGCATTTCCTTCAAGAGAGGTTTGTTTGTTCCTTTGACAGTCCATCATATATATTCCATATTCTTCATCAACACCAAAATCCAAAGGTATTGATTCTTCTTTGGTCTTAAGAGTACGGCATAAATTATCAGCATGCTGTTGTTACATGCCATTAAGTGAACCCATAACAACCCTATGTATAGCAGTCCTCTCCCAAGCCAGTCTCACTGTTTCCAACACACCTACCTCTAGTGCCCCAATTACTCTATCAATCCATCTCATCTGTTGTCTTCCTCACCTGCACTGTCGCTCCACCCTTCCAAGCATGATGTCCTTCTCTAAAAACCTGTCCCTACTGGCAACGTGCCCAAAGTATGTGCGACGGAGGTCCAAAATCCTAGCCTCCAAGGAGAAACTTGGTTTTACTCTCTCCAAGCCAGATCTTTTTTCTTGGTGGTCCATAGTATGTTCAAGACTCTTCTCCAACACCACAACACAAAGACATCGATTCCTCTTCTGTCATCCTCAGTCACTGTCTGGCTCTCTGATGCACAGCAAGTAACTGTGAAGACCCTGGCCTGGATTAGGCACATGTTGTCTCTAGAATGACACTGTTTCTTTTCAGTACTTTGGAGAGGTCCCTGAAAGCAGATTTTCCCAATGCTATTTGCCTTTTGATTTACTGACTGCTGGTGTCAAGAGTGTTGACTGTGGGGCCAAGCAAGCTGTAATTGTTCCATCTAGCATGAAGCAGCCAATTGGCTCAATGGTGAGAATCTTTGTCTTCTTGATGCTGCACTACAATCCATATAGAAGACTTCAGTCCTTGACCTTCTAGAGTAAGCGCTTCAAGTCCTTCTCCATTTCAGCTAGCAAGGTAGTGTCATGTGCATAAGATAGGTTGTTGATGAATCTTCCTCCAATCCTCCTCATAATGTCAAGTTTCCCAAATTATTTATTCTGCATATAGACTGAAAACGTATGGATATAAGATGAATCCCTGACAAATTCCTTCCCCGATTTTGAACCATGCATTATTTCCTTGCTCTGTTCTGACACTGCTTCCTGATCCAAGCATAGGTTTTGCATAAGCACAATCAAAGTGTTCTGGGATTCCCAATCTTCACAAGATTAGGCACAATTTGTTGTGATCCACATAATCACGGACACATTTCAACAAACAGACGCTTCCCTGGACACACTCATCAAGTTGTGCCAAGAAATCTGCCAAAAACCACCTGGCCAACTGACTGCATTCTAAAGAATGGTGACTGACAAAATGTGCAAATTATTGAACAATATCATTAATGTCACATGCAAGCAAGATCCTGCTGATAATTAGCCAAAAAATTACTGTGCAGCACCTCAACAGAAAACTGCCACATATACAGGCTGAGTTTAGAAGAGGTCATGGAACTGGGGACATAAAAGCCAATGTTAGATGGATCTTAGATGAAAGAGAAAAGTACCAGAGGAACGTCTATCTATGTTTAATTGACTACACAAAGGCATTTGACTGTGTGGATCACAACAAATTGTGGCTAACCTTGAGAAGACTGGAAATCCCAAAACACTTGATTGTGCTATGCAAAACCTATAATTGGACCAGAAAGACTCAGAACAGAGCAAGGGAACACTCATGGTTCAAAATAAGGAAAGGTGTACACTAGGAATGCCGTATCTTTTTAATCCAAATGTGGAAAAGATAATCCGGGAGGCTGGGCTATCTGGGAGAAATATTGCATCAGGATTAGAGGAAGACTCATCAACAATCTGCAGTCTGCAGATGACACAACCAACCTTGCTTGCTGAAACTGAGTGAGGCATTTGCTGCAAAAGGTCAAGAACTGTAGCCTTCAATAGAGATTGAAACTCAGCATAAAGAAAACAGAGATTCTCACCACTAGGCCAATTGGCATATTCATGATACAGTGTGAAGAGACTGAGATTGTTAACAGCTTCAGCTTGCTTGACTGCATAATCAACATTCTTGGTACCAGCAGCCAGGCAATCAAAAGACTCACTGCATTGGGAAAATTTGTTGTCAGAGACCTTTCCAGAATACTGATGAGCAACAATGTCAGTCTAAAGACTAATGCAAGCCTGATCCAGTCCATGGTCTTCCCAATTATTTGTTATGCAACAGAGAGCTGCACAATGACTAAGGAAGACAGAACTGATGCCTCTGAGTTGTGCTGTTGGAGATGAGTACTGAATATACCATGGACTGCTAGGAGAACAAAGAGGGTCATCTTGGAGAGCATGAAACCAGGCTACTCCTTGGGAAGATTTTTTTTTCCCTTTGGAAGATTTTTGAAGCTTCATCCGACATACATTGGACATGTTGCAAGGAGGGACCAATCCTTAGAGAGGGTCATCATGCTTGGAACAGTGGAGGTACAATACAAGAGAGGAAGACCCTGGATAAGATGGATTGACTCAGTGACTGGGGTAATAGGGATGGATGTGTGGTTGACTCAATATAGAGCTATAGTAAAAAGGGTTGCTATGAGTCGCAAGCAACTCAATGGTACATAACAACAATGTTATTACAAAACAAACCCATTGCTAAGATTTACATTATACATCCTTTCTCACATGTTTAGTGAAAATAAGTCACAAATGCAAATATTACATTAAAATATAAACACGGATGTAATCCTTTCAGATTTGATTGTTGTTAGGTGTCATCAAGTAATTCTGACTTATATTAACCCCCTTTACAACAGATTCAAACTCTTCCTGGTCCTATGCCATCTTCACAATTTCTGCTGTGCTTAAGAGCAATGATACAGTGTTATTGTGTCACTGAGGGTCTTCTCCTTCACTGACCTTCCACTTTTTCAAGTACGGTGACTTTTTACTGTTACTGCCTCCTGACAACATGCCCAAAGTATGTGAGAGGGAGCTCTGGTGGCCTAGTGGCAAGAAGCTAAACTCCAATCCCAAAGTACATGTGATGACATCTACATATCCTCACCTCTGTGGAGCACTCTAGATCCAATTCGTCTACGACAGATCTGTTTTTTCTTTTGGTATAAATCCCATATTCTTCAACAATACTATAATTTAAATGCATCGATTCTTTTCAGATGAAGAGTTTATGCCAAATTAAAATATATATGTATTTGTTGTTATTATTTTTATGCACCATCAAGTCAGAACCAACTCATAACCAACTCTGAAAACCCTCCAGGGGGTTTTCAGTGGCACTAAATCACATATTCATCTTTCTCCCTCAGACTAGCTGGTATTCTCGAACTGCATGCTTTTGGGTCGGCAGCCTAATTCCTTACCACTATGCCACCAGATAGATAGATAGATATATGCTGACTGTGGAATAGATCATCAACTACTCACATGCAAGTTCAAACTAAAGTTAAAGAAAATTAAATCAAACCCAGAAAAAACAAAATATTAATTTAAAAATCATCTCTAGAACAGGTTTGAGACCCTGAACACTAATGAACAAAGATCAGATGAGCTCTGGAAGGATATCAAGAATATCATCCATGAAGAATACAAAAAGTCATTGCAAAGACAGAAGAGGAAGGTCTGATTGAGATGGATATCAGAAGAGGACCTGAATACTGCACTACAGTGCCAAGAAGGCAAAGCAAAGGGAAGAAATCAAGAAGTTAAGGAGCTGAACAGATTTCAAAGGGCAGTCAGAAAGAAAAAAAGCAAAGTTGTATAAGGACATGTGCAAAGAGCTAAAGTTGGAAAATAAAAAAAGGCTACACTCCCTCAGCATTTCTTAATTTGAAGGAACTGAAGAACAAATTCAAGCCTCGAGTTGCAATACTTAAGGATGCTATGAGCAAAATACTGAAGGATCCAGGAAGCATTAAAAGAAGGTGCAAGGAGTACAAAGAGTCACCATATCAAAAAAGAATTGGCTGACACAGAATAATTTAATGAAAGTGCTTATGTTAAATGGTGGTGAAGGAGCAAATTCAAGTTTCTCTGAAGGAACTGGCAAAAAAAACAAAGCTCCAGGAATTGATGGAATACCAACTGACATATATCAACAAACAGATGCTACTGTGGACATGCTAACTTATTTGTGCCAAAAAATCTGAAGGAATTAAAGAAATTTATATTTGTTCCTATTCCAAAAAAAGGTAACCCAACACAGCATGGAAAGGATCAAATAATATCACTGATAACACACACAAGTAAAATCCTGCTGAAGAGTATCATCAAAAATGAATGGAATATAGGGAGCTCTGGTGGCCTAGTGGCAAGACGCTGCACTGCCATCCCAGAGGTACACGGTTCAAATCCA